ATTAATTATTAAAACTATAATTTATGGCGAAGCATCTAAGTCATGGGTTTTCATTAGTTCGTGTTAACAACAACAAGCCCTGACCGAGCCAGTAAATGGCAGAGACGATTTTCCGCCTGCCACTCATTTCTCCTTCAAAATTCATGATACCACAAAGCAGCACCAGAGCTCGGATAGTTGCTGATCCTTAAATCCCTCACCTTTAATTAAGTGCTTGCCTGACAGGAAGTCTGCAACGTCGAAAACCGAGATATGTGGTTTATGAGTTTTACCGAAGCTTTCCGCTGCTGCCGCTGCCGTGTTAAGAGTAACGGTTCAAATGTTACCAAATTACCCACGAATGAATATTTACTTTTGAAGAAGTTATGCTTAAGATTTTTTTTAGAAATTTTCCAATACTTTAGATCTGAAGGCGAACGAAATTCTCTAAATAATTCGAGGAAAAATAACACATCTATTACAAGTTGATCGTTTGTTTCCTAAAAATTGAGTTTTCCCCGGAAAACCCTGTTTTTACGAGAAAATCGATTTTCCGGAAAATTCCGATAAAATGAAGCAAGTTTGTCATCATTTTCGGACTCAGCTTTAAAAAAAGCAGAAATAACATCCGTCACATGTTAAGGTTTACTTCCCTAAAACTGAGTTTTCCCCGGAAAACCTTCTTTTTTATAAGATAATCGATTTTCCGGAAAATCTTGATGGATAGAGAAGAATGGATAGCATTTTCGGACTTACAAATTATTTGCAATTACGGTCGAACATTGTTAGAGAAACATATGGAACCATAAAAAGTCAATAGTTACGAGTTTTTAGAGCCAAAATAAGTGGGGACCGCACGGTTTTTCCCGCTCCTTTTTAAATTTCAAGGAGGTCTCGGTTTTCCCGCGATCCTATCAACCAATCAGAAGGGCGGCTTCATTTTTAGCTGTGGCGTAGAAAATAGAGTCCCTTTATACTGAGAGTCAAGACAATGTGAATCCATTTCTGATTGGTTCCCGTATTTTAGGCCTTCACAGTGTCACAAACGGGAATAAAGATTACAGTTTCACCGATTGCAAAGATTATAATCTGGAATGGACCGGGGAATTACGGGTTCGGCAAGGAACAAACGGAATGAAGGAAGGAACGAAGAAAGGAATTCAAGAATGGACCGATCAAAGATTACGAAAAACGTTCAATTTCTGTACCTAATCTTTATTCCCGTTTGTGACTCCATGAGGGGTGTTGTCTTGACTCTCAGTATAAAGGGACTCTAGTAGAAAAGTACATTCCTCCGCTTGCCACCACCTTCTGTGTTTCCTCTACGGCGAAAAGCCACGTTTTTATTGTTAGTTCGGTGAGGTCTCAACAATTTTTAGCGGAGTTTAAGACGCAGTCGGTTAGGTGAGGACGAAGAGACAAGTCGGTCCGTCTCGTCACTCCTCCAATGGCGCTGAGTTGGGAACGATCGGCCGGGCCGGGTCAAAGGCAGAAGCTTTTGCGTGGCGGAGGGGAATGCGGAAGGCGGAAGACCTTTTGATGGGGTCGGGGCCGGAGCTTTTGGGGCACGTGTCGGGTCGGGGTTCGTCGAACCGCGGGCGCGGAGCGACCTCCTCCACGTGGAAGCGCGTAGACCGATGCGCGCCGCGCCGGGCCGGGCCGGGCCGTGCGGAGGCTCGAAATTCGACCTTGCGTCAGGCTCGCCGCCACCGCGCCGACGCACCGCGCCGCAGCACCCAGGGTCACCGACCCACTGTGAACTGCATAAAAGCGTCCTCTTGCACTTGGGCTTCCTCCACGTGGCCTCCCGCACAGAGGGAAAGCCCCAAGAGGGAAACCGGAAAAGAGCCGGAAAAGGATCTCATTCTCAACTTACCCGTTTCCGGGAATGGAGCAGTCAATGCGGATTTCCGAGTTACGCACAATGGAGATGTTGCATGTGTGAGGAATTTGCGATTTGACAGATGATTCTAATGTAAAAGTTTGCGAGAAACACGATGGTGCCACTGGTTTTTTCTGAAATTAACTCCCAAGCTCAAAAAAAGCTCTCAAATTGAGACCAAAATGGAGGGGATATCCCACCCTAGCCTGAGAGTCCACGTCTACATCAAGACAAACTCTCCATGCAAAGATAGGGAGCAAATACATTAGCAGGGTTGCCGTGTTTTCAGTTTTGGAGTCCCCCAATAAAGTGGCAGCCCTGTCAATGTATTTGCTCCCTATCTTTGCATGGAGAGTTTGTCTTGATGTAGAGGTGGACTCTCGGGATAGCGTGGGATATCCCCTCCATTTTGGCCTCAACTTGAGAGCTTTTTTTGAGCTTGGGAGATGATTTCAGAGAAAACAGTGGCACCATCGTGTTTCTCGCGAACTTTTACATAAGAATCAACACTCAAATCGCAAATTCCTTACACATGCAACATCTCCAATGTCCCTACAAAGAACTTCGCGAGAAACACGATGGTGTTACTGGTTTTCTCTAAAACCAACTACGAATCTAGAAAAAAGTTCTTAGCGTTGAAGTCGTAACGGATGGTATTCTGCAGGTTCCGCAGATCCTCATGGGTTGGGCTGTAACATGTTCAAGGGGCCAACTGCCTAGTTCAAACAGACATCGATTATGACATCGGACATTGGACATCGGCCTGGAACAGAGCGGCGCAAAGAGCAATGATAACGAGTACTTGAGATGAAAAGGAGAAGCCCTCGGCGCGGCCGGCGGTCGGCGTGTAACACATAGCGCCTACAAGACAGCATGAATACTTCACACATTACGTCAAACACAGTGCAGTCAGCAGCGGTCGGCGGGAAACGCATAGCGCCTACAAGACTGCATGAATACTTCACACATTGCATCAAACACCGTGCGATCAGCAGCGGTCGGTGTGAAACGCCGCATTGCGCCCACAAGATTGCACACGCATTGCGCCAAATACAGTGCGGTCAGCGCGGTGCGGCGGCGGAAGTTATAATTATTAAACCCCATTTATGTTTGTTCTTTCATAATTTTTTCGCTCAATACTTAGAAATGGAAGGCTTTGTTCACACAACGATAGGTTTACGGAACTGAACTTTTGCGCAAAGTTCCTTGAACTTTGGGCTTGTCAGGGCTTTTGCAAAAAATGTGTACAACGCGAGTAAACGTGTCTTATGCATCCCTCTCCCTCCAGCACGTTGTCTTGATGGTCTTTATTAAAGTTTCAGAACGAATGAGAATAAGGGGGAGGCAAGATACAGGCGGCCCATGGGCGGCAAGTATAGGTAAATCCACCCCTGGGCGCACCGTATCGGTGGAAATTTCGTTTTGTTGAGATAGAGGTCGGCAGTACGTTAAAAAATTGAACCAATTCCATTCGCCAGAATTTGCCTAAAGTGCTCATTCTTCGAATTTGTGGACGGTGCTTATCTAGAAATTATGACTTTGCCTACAGACGCAAAGATACGAGGGTTGTCCAAGGGCAGTATAAGTAAGCAGAACTGAATGTCATTTCCGACAAAGCAGCAGCAAGTTTACCTATACTGCTGAGTTCGCCGTCTCCCAGACGAAGGAATGTAACTCCAATCCAAGGTCGCCAAATTGACTCAAACAATCAATTTACCTTAAAAAATGTACCATTGCAATTTTTAACCAAAAGTTTTCTGATTCTGCTTAAAATCTGAGGAAATGTCAGTGGCATTCCTAGTTAGAAAATGCCACAGATTCTCCTGGTTAATATGAAATTTGCGAGAGGAAATTTTGGCAACGTTGAAATTTAGTTTTATTTTTTTTATAGTTAAGTCCTCTCGTACGGGAAACGACGAGTTTTATTTGAGGTTGGAAAATGTTTTCCCAATTAAAAGTCGTCTTTTTTTATGCCATCGGTCGCCATCAGTCGCCGTCACTGCGCAATCATTCGTGTTTTGTTTCGTTGATGCCATCAGAAATGGGCGGAGCTTAGTTTGTCAAACTGAGCTAGACCATCAGTCACGTGACGCTTTGACGCCATCAGCCGCAATCACTCGTCACCCGAGTCCGGAGTGTCTCCATGGAGCACCATCAGTGAAACCTAACCTCTAACAATTTTTTAGTAGCGTAATCCCGTGATTGGATAGAGAAAAATGGGCGTAACCATCAGTCGCAATCACAGCGATGCCATCGGTAAGCGACCGACGACATAAAAAAAGACGACTAATGATGATGTTTTGAGGAGTTTTTTATCAGACCTAATGAAAACCAAATGGAAGTTCCTGAGGAAAGGAGCTATTTTAGGGACGACTGCAGGCCTAGATACACGCTCAAATTTCCACCAATTTCCGATCAAATGGTGACTGGTGCCCACCATCTACCATCAAATTTTTGCGGCCTGCAAAAATTTGAACGCCATTTTTGTCATCATTTTGATCGGAAATTGAAGGAAATTTGAGCTTGTATCCAGGCCTTGAGAGCACGACCGTCACTATTCTCTGCGGTAACCAGGAGGGTTTTCATATAGAATATACAGAAAGAAATTCTCTGCAATTCCCCTGATTATTCTGTCATATTTTGGTGAAATTTCCTGACAATTGATGGTACGCCAGATGTTTGATGAGACGTGGGTAATTAAGAACAGTTTTCGGACAAAATTAATTGCTGTTTGAAACGTCAAACTCGTTGTAGACAGCAATTGGACTGCATTTTGCAAATTGGAACTATAAATTCTGGCTCTTCTGAAAAAACACTTATGTGCATAGGGAAACTAATGGCACATACGTTGTTTTTAAACCAGGCTGGAATTTATAGTTCCAAATTGCAAAATGTAGTCCAATTAAGGGCGGTACAACAATTTTTTCCTGACATTTCCGAATTTTTACTGACAACTTAAAATTCCCTGACATTTTCCTGTACACCTTGCCTGATGTGGCAACGCTGGGTAACGCAGTAGATGCGTTACCGTCGATGAGCGGGAAGTCGTCGACTAGTTCTTCTCCGCGGGCCCCCTGAGCGACGGGGCCGGGCCACGTGGAGTCAAACTTTGGCTGCCTTCGGGACTAGATCACTTCCCGGCTGAACTTTTCTCCCGATATCGGAGCGAAAGTTCAACGGACGCTGCGGCTTCCGAGGGGCCCGGCGCGGCGGCTGCGACTGCGGCGAGTGGTTAGTTCATTTCGTTGCGCGAGTTGGGTTTCGGTGCGGGCATCGCCTCGCCTCGACCCGAACTCGCGGCCCTGCGTAGCGCACTGCAGTTCTCGCGACCGCCCGATTCCCGATTACCCAACGATTCCCATTTCACGGACTTCCCGTCGCGGAAGTGCCGCCTACCGCGCCCCGGGCACGGCCCCGCACGATAGCCCTATGAGCTTCGCGTTGAGGCCGTTTCACCAGACCAGAGACGATAGATTTTACAGATATCACACTATTCGCCTGTGCTACCCAAGAGAGGAATGGAGTCGCCAAAAATGAAGCATGAGAAAATGGACCAAAAGCGCTGTCTCCACTCGTCGAAATGGGGTCTGTACGATTTTGACTGTATCATGTATATCTCTTGTATGTATCTATGGTTACGCACCACCACTTGTCTTTCTGATCCTCTCTCACGTTCATACACGCTCTTCTGATCCTGATAGTTTTGTCCTTATTTCCTTCCCATTCCCCCCTTTTCCCTACAGGGTCAAAATGAAAGCTCAAAGTGAATCAATTTCGACGATAACTGGCTCACAGTCGAAATTGATGCAATGGAGAATTTGCATGCACATTTTTTGTTGCTTCATCTGAAAGTGCTTAAAGAGCTGATTTCACAGTATTTTTTATAATTTTTTTCTGATATGGAAAATAGTATAGAAATAGATTTTAAAGTGAGAAAATGCACCGCCTAGTGACGTCATCTGGCGGCATTTCCCATTTAAACACATGTATTTCAGCAGATTAGATCATTTTGTCATATCTTCTCCAATAATTGTTCTATTCATGAACCAATGTATCCTCGTGTTCAGTTCACTCAGTACTTTCCAATTGAACACGAAATTCATCAAATTTCAGACACCAGCAAATTCTCTATTGATGAGTGTTGCAATTCAAAATAGAGCGGCGCGACTCTTTTTTGATCAACAATTGCGAATGGATCGTATTTATCGATTCACTTGAGCTCCCATTTTGACGAGTGGACATAAGGCTAAAATGTGTTAGAACGATAACTTTTGAGCTTTGCCTTTGGTTTGTGTAAAGTTGTCCTGAGAGGATCCTGTGTAACGTGTGAGGGCTGATTATTGGATTTGATGTAAAAAAAAGAGAGAAAAAAGCGCTAGACGAAAGACAAAATAGAGTAATCCCATTGTTAGACGCGGGATGTTGCAACGGTGGTTAGAATTTTTACCCAATTTTCTTTGATCCAAATTTTTACTGTCTATTTATGAAGTTTGTCCAATAGTTTTTTTTTTTTTTTTTTTGTGTACAATGCTTAATGAACCAATAGTTTACTTAGTCCGGTTATAAGCAATGATATAGGTGCTGAGATTTCGCCCAATAATGAAATCGAACCCTTAGATGCCCAAGCCGGTTCAAACTGACCCAAGGATAGCTGAAAACTCGTACCCCGCGGGTTCTACGGAGCTGGTACATTCGAATTTTAGATGTAGGTCTACAATTACATCTTAGAAAAAGAATAAGACATCAAATTGAAAAAAAGGAAGAAACCAAATGTCAACACAGCCGAAGATAGGAGAGACTTTTTTGGGTCTGGTTTTTATAACTTTTCTCTCGAATCAGAGTGACAAATCACTGCTAGCATAGAGCAAAGCATCGCGAGCTCACGCGCCATGCCGCCTTCAATTTTGTAGATGCAACACGGACATCCATCAAGCACGAATAGTGGTATCCCTGCGCCGTCATCGGCGCGTGCCCTTTCCCTTACTCCAATTCCATATATTGTGATGGTTATGTGTGTCCCATTTGTAGTTGCGTTTCAAGTGTTACGTTAGCAAAACAGCCGAAGATAGAAGATATGTAATCGGGCTTTGTTTTTTACCTTTCTCCCAAATCCAAGCGACACCTCATTGACCGCATATAGAGCGGAGCATTGCGAGTTCACGCATCGCGCCTTCAATTTTGCAGATACAACACGGACATCCATCAAGCACGAATAGTTGTATCTCTGCGCCGTCATCAAAGCGAGTCCTTTCTCTTACCCTATTTTCATGTTGTGATAGCTCTATGTGTCTTATTTTTAGCGGCGGTGCGTAAAAGGCTACGTGAGCAACATAGCCGAAGTATGACTTGGATTTTTGTCGGTTAAACTAGGTATCTGGTAAAAGAAAATAGGGTAGTGTCTAGCTACCGTTGCAATGGACAAAGGAAGAAAATAATAGACTAACAAATGACGACTGTCGAGGGAACCGACACCGTCGTTATGTTTTTGACACAAAACAAGCAAAATGCGATATGAGTCTTGGTGCTCTGTAAACTTCGTAACATGGCAGGAGTAAATAAGCGAATTTTATTTCGTCTCGGGAGAAATAGAATGTCTGTGAATTTGGCAGGGCTCCAATCTATGAATAACAAATTCCTGTGAGGATCATCTTCCAATGAGTGCAACTGATGGTTTTACGATCAGCATTGGTCTGGAGTCTCTTGTCTCTGTCTTCATGAGAAACATACTGCCGTGCTAAGGAAAAACGCCGTATGAACAAGAACATTCGAGAGTTGCCAAAGAGCTTCCCAAAATTTCGCCCCTTTTTCGGTATTCGATTCGACCATCGAACCAAGGTTTAAGTGGAAGCTTATAATAACAAAAAACTCAGGAAAAAACTTCAAGATGAGTATAGGAACCGTTTTCGAGTTGTGGAGGGGGGGGGGCAAAGGGGTCAAACTTCCCAAGTAAAAACGTTCCTTGACTTAGTCACGGAAATGAGCTGATTTCCTTCACTTTTCCAAGGAAATCACTTGATTTCCTTGGAAAAGTCACGGAAACCAGATGATTTCCTTGGACGAGTGAAGGAAATCAAATGATTTCCTTGGACCAGTGAAGGAAATNGGTTGTTATCGTTGTTTACACATGTTATACATACCGGTTCCTACGTATTTTTACACGAAAAATCGAGTTTTAATGTTGACGAGTCGATATATCGATCGGTTTTATAGATTTTTAAGATTCTTTACGGATATTCGACGATTTTTTGAGATTGAAATTGTTCATTTTTGATTCACGGATAACTAAATGCACCTAATATGACTGTAGTACACCGACACCTACGTATTTTTTCTTGTAGAATCGATTTTTAACATTAACGAGTCGATATATCAATCGCTTATATCGAATTTTTGCGATTTTTAGGAAAATCAATGGTATATTGGTATTGAAATTGGTAATTCTCCATCCGAGAACGACCAAATTTTGGGTTGGAACACATTTCCGGTCGGGTTGATTTCCAGTTGAGTCAAGTTTTCGATTGGGGCACATTTCCGGTCGAGTAGGAATTAAAATTTTCGATTTCAGGTCAAGTGAAATTTCGGGTGGATAACGAATCCCGTTGATTGTGGTTTCCGGTCGGTCAGATTTCCGACCGAATCAAATTTTCAGTCGGGGCAGATTTTCGATAGGGACACGTTACCGGTTGGAGACAGTTTCCCGTCGGGTTAATTTCCGGTCATGTCAAATACGGATGGATTACGGTTCCAGTGAATTGGAATTTTGGGATGGGTCAGATTTCAGGTTAACTCGATAACTCGAGGTTAAAAGTAACTAATTAATTATCGAAGACAATTTGCCAGCATTTTTATCCTCATATACGGTACCTATTCCTCCATTTGAAAGTATCACTTTTATTACTGGCACCTAGGAGAATTCTGCCGTGCGAACAAAAGACGCCGCCGGAGGTTGCCGATTTTCCACAAAAATCTTTCTAGAAAACTTACACTTTTTTCGTCAACATTTTCAAATAAATTTATATCCAATTAAACTCAATGTATCTGAAAATTTCAAGACAAACTATTCATGACTTCCCTCAAAACTGAATGTTCCAACCGAGAAAACATGGTGACATTCGGATGCTCATATGAAATTTTTCATAAGCAGAGAAGTATTGCTTCAACCGTTTTTCGTTTGGTGTAGATTGAATGTCCATGAAAATACTTTAATTACATACGGATATTTTTTACTAAAATAAAGAACCCATTAGTTCATCTTTAACTCCAATGATCCTGTATACCTCTTATTAACACTGTATTTTGACACTTGAGCCGTTCGAGCGCAAAACGCCTTCAATCTGCCATGCAGGCAAAACCAGCTCCTATTCAAGCGGAGCGTGTTCGAAGAGTTGCTCTGTACCCTTTTGAAGGCGTTTTAATGGACGAGACGAGAGCACGCACTTATTGTTAGCCGCACTCCTCAATTCTTCATATCGAGGTTTCTGGAATAATGTTTCACCGTCAGTTAAAAGATACAGCTCGATTTTGAGAAATTAAAATTGTGTTGTGCTTCTTTATACATTTTCCTAAAACAAAGTTGATGAATGGATTAAGGTTTTTAACAGAAGAAAAGAGTAGCTAACAAAAATGACTTCATCGATTTTTGATGTTTCTGCTGGGGCCGACATTTGCAGAGGTAAAAGAGAAGGCCGCACAAGCCTAACTAAACCTTTTTGGACCTAAGGGAGAGTATGTATTGACTTACCAATTAAATTTTTCAAAAATACTCTTTTGGATCAATTTGATGATAATGCAGGAAGTCCTCTGCAGTTCACAGCGCTGCGACCGCCACAATCCGCGGACCACGTGTTTTTTTGCAAGCTTCCGGTCAATTGGACGTATTTCTGTCGATCTGAACTATTTGCGCTAAGATATGAGCCCTGAGACCCATAAGAATATATGAGGACTTATGTGTAACAATAGCGGTCACTTACATCCGCCATTTTTAGGGAAAACGTTTTTTTCGAATTCTGGAGCCCTCAAGAATGCCTGTGCAAAGTTTCAGACTTCCAGCCAGGGTCGGATTAAGGGGGTGGCCACATGGGCCGCGGCCCATGGCGGTAAATCTATAGGGGCGGCAAATTTTGCAATTTTTTTAAATATAGGTATAAAAAAAATTTAGGAAAAAAAAAATGATAAACGAGAAAAAGCGACAAAATCTCTAATTTTCTGAGAGTATAGTAATTTCCACTTTTGTCGTCTTTCAGTGATATATGAGGCAGCACCTTTAATTAGTCGAGTTAAGAGAAACCAAACACGCAATTTGGCCTGGAACGGCGCGACTTACCTAGAGAGAAATGATGACGAGGACTCGAAATGAAAAGGAGAAGGAATCGGCGCGGCGATCGGCATGTAGGGGAGACCGGGGCTATGTTGACCAGATTTTTTGAAAACTTGTGTCTGAAGAAACAGAAGAATAGAATGCCATTTCTTTGATGCTCTAATCCTTGAGCATACAGTGTAAAATTAAAATCAACTGAAAACATTGTACAAAATACTTTAATTTTGTGAGTTTCATGCGTTTTTATAAGAAAATCCATTTTGGTCAA